ACCCAGGTTCGCTGTATTAGCAAGGCCTCTACACTATTTACTATAAAAATATATTAGTTTTTGTTAGGAACAGGAGCAACAAGGAGCATTTGAGGCGTTAAAAAATCACCTAACAATGGCACCAATTCTTCATCTTCATAGGTGTATTCACCAAACTCATCTCTACTGTTGCTGTCGGGTTAATTTTTTTCTCCTGGTATCTCTAATTTTTTTGCTCCACTATTAGAAATAGGCACCTCAATTCTTCTGCCATTATGTTTGAGAAGCAACCTTTGCTCATCAAAGTGAATCTGCGGCTGTGCTCTATAGAACCAATCATTTCTGAGTAATAATGTCTCATTTGCAAATTCAATTACTTGAAAGGTGCTAGATAAGAGTATATTTTGGATAGCTAGCTTTACGTCTTCAATTTGGCCTAATATATGCGTTCTAGTTCTGGTAGCGATAATTACCACCATTGATGAAGGTTTGTCTATTTTTAGCTTTAACTTGTCCATGAGTTTCTTTGTAATTATGCTCACGGTTGCGTCTGAGTTCAATACTGCTCATATGGGGTTCCTTTTGATTCTAACATAACAATGGGCAGCCATGGTTCTGAGGTTATCACTAAAGTTTACTACATAAGTTTTTTGGGCTTCCTGGGCTGTTTAGGTTTCCTGGGGTTCTTGAGCCACAAGAGGTCGGCATAAGGCTTGAGTCAAGTTTCTTCTTTGGTTTGTGTATTGTAGTATTTGCCCCACCGTAGCTTTAACTGGTAGGGATAATATATCATCCACTACATTATATAGGGTTAATTTGTTTATCACTGAAGGCTCCTGTTTTTGCCTTATTTTCTTAACCATTTGTGATTCCTCTAACTCCATCGGCTGTAATTGGTCTCCCACGTCTACTAAAAGCAGTTTATTTTCTGCCCAGGGCCAAAGTCTATTTTTTCACTTCAGTTCTGGTTGCAATTTAGGCCTTTTCTCAAAGATATTTGGTTATACTTATTGCTTTCTTTTGTCCACTATATATAACTCATTTTCACAGTAGTTTACTCTACTAACATTTTCTGTATATGGTCTTTCTACTTCACTAGGCTCCTTAGGTCTTCTTTCTGATATACAAAAGCGAGCTATGTGTCCTTTTTCACCACACTTATAACAAATGATTTCTTTCCTGGGCTTAGGGTTCTCTCTATATTTTTCTTTTTCACGTGTATCCTTTTCTTGCTGGTTATTTGCCACAACATAGTTAACCAATAGTTGCTGCACTTGCTTGACTAATGCTCCAATTATTTCATCTCTTTTATCAGAGATTACTGTAGCTTCAGATGTATGGGCGCCATAGTATTTGCCTGCTTCTACCTTTCTTGCTACCACAATTGCTTAATTAAGGTTCTCTGGAGAGGTGACTGCCACGAAGATTGCTGTTTTCCCTTTTAATCCACATAAAAACATTTGTATGATATATTGGGGGGTAATGACTCTTCCGGGTTCACCTGACTTAGGAGCTTTTTAAACTTGATGGCATAGGCGTCCACCTTTTCATTTTCAAGTTGGCTGAGGTTGTTCAACTGGATCTGTCACTTGTGTTATTTTTCTGGGGTGGCAAAGTAAGTGACCAACAAGTGGTAGAAACTGCGGTCTTAATTATCCTCGTTTTTCTAGTTATCAATGATTGCTTTGTTATCTTTGTACTATTTTGCTGCCATTCTTTTTAGGTAGCCAGAAGCTATCTTGAGTCTTCTTTTGTCTGACCAGTTGTTTGCTTCCGCAGCATGTTCAAAATCAGCAAACTACTCTATTGGGTTATCATTATTGTTCCTGCTAAAACTTCTAACCTTTACATGGTTCATTTCTTTAGGTCCAGACCTTTTTTCTTTAACAATGTCCTTGGCTTCGAACAACTTGGTTATGCTTTCTATCAACTCTTTGAGTTGGGTGGCGTTCATAGTAGTTGAATTAAATGGTGCAAGAAACCTTTCCAGTATGTGCTGATATAACTTCTTGGACTTGGGTTTAAGTAAGTTTTTTGTTTATTCAGGTCTGTTTGTGCTTATACAATTTTTTGAATCAGGGAGGGGGTAGTGAATGTCGTTACTTTATTTTCAGATCTCACAATCACCATAAAAAATGTGATGACCTAACAGACTGTGACTCGGTCGCTCCACAATTCAAGAACTCATATAATCTGCAGGTAGTAACCTTATGAAAGAGATGTGTTAAATTTGGCTTGTAGGTGATTTAAGGCTTTAGTTACTCTGAGTCAGCAATGCTAGGTCATGTGAACAAGAGCTTAACAAATGACAAATTGTAACTTTAGAGTTCAAAAAGTGTATTCACGCAATAGCATTTTTATATAATATTATGGGCAATGTATTTGATAAATTTGAGACTTGGTTATTAGTGAAGCAAATAAAACATGATTTTTCTTGGGGCAATAACATCTTTATTTATAATAAACTTTTGCTTAGTACTTATTATAATCATTATATCTCTTATATCTATTAAAATGATTAAATCAATTATAATGAATAAAACTATTATATCTTCTATAACTATTAAATTGGTTTTATCTATTATTTTCGTTATATTAGTTATCTGGGATATATTTAATTTCTTCAATATATTTAAATATATAGCAACTCCTTTTTAAGTAATAGATCATCCTAACTGTGTCAACATGAGCGGGCGCAGCAATTTCTGATTCACAATTTCCAGACCTCACAGTACTTAGTTTATTTACAAAATTTGATTTCCTTTTTTGGTTTGTGTTATTCACAAAAATAAATAAATCGCAATAAAGCCCTGCCTGTACTTGCAAAATCTGTTATTTGTAATTTGGTCATTTTTTTTTTTGCAGCCATGTAACTATTGTATATTAATCTATAAAACCACCTTCGAAAATTTTCTTTGCAATTCTAGAAAAGGAAAAATGTTCACTTTTATTTAGTGGTACTTGTATTGTTTCTGTAAATATGCCATAATAAAAGCTTTAATTTGGCATAGTGAAGTTGTTAATGTGCGACCTATTGCTCCTTATAATGCAAGTATAAAAAATATTTACTAATTTATATTCAACATATATATTTGTTATTTAATTTTATTTAATAAGAACAGAAAGAATCAAATTTTCCAATAAATGAATATCACTTAAATCACAGCTGAAAATATTATCTAGACCAACGTCTATAATGAAATCAATATGCTCATTTTTTCTTATTTATTAGCCTAAATGTTTAATGTTCTCGTATATAATATATTAGTAATAACAGTGATATTTTATAAGGTTAAAGCCTTATTTATTTGGTGCTTAAATTAGTAGCATTATATATTAATACTTTTTTAAATAGCATATCTTTATAAGTTTATATAAGACATAAACTCTAATTTAATTATTTATAAAGAAAATAATCTATGCACTTTGGTTGTAAATGTGTATTTTCCCTCAGTTTTTGTAATCTATTATAAGAAAAAGTACTAAAAAGATCAAAAAGAACATGGGCTTTTATATAGCTATAAATGTAAAACATATAGCAAATTCTTTATAGTCAATGTCAATTGCATAAGCAAAGCACAATGAAAATTAGTATTGTCACTAGAATGGTCCAGTGGAAATTACTAGAACTGTAAGATTACTGGACCTTAATTAAAAGCATAATAATAGCTTTCAGTAGTTTAATATTACTGGATTCTTCTAATAAAATTTTTTTGTTTACTAGCTTTGCAAAAACCTCGATTTTTGCTAAATATATTTGCAATATTGCTATAATATTTCTACAATATAATTTCAATATTATGAGAGTTATTATATTATCACCATATTTTAAAAATATTTTTATTATTCTGTTAAATCACTTTTAATTTGATATATATTATATATTTGTAATATAATTACAATAGTTTTAATATTAAAATTATCTTTTTATTATCTAATAACAATCTAACAGTAATTTAATAAATATATTATTTTAATAATATAATATCAATCTGTTTAAAATAATCAAATAATATTAAATAATATTACTAATATCTTAATATTTAACAATATGATAAAAAGATT